CCAGCTGGCAAGTGGACATCCCCCTAGGGCTGCCTGGCTGCCAGAGGGATGTCTGATTGCCATCTTAGGCCCAATCCCCCAGGAACAGGGCCTCAGCCAGCAAGTGGTCATCCCCTGAGGGGTCCCAGACTGCGAGAGGGCACAGGCCGGGCTGAGGGGACCCCCTCCCCGAGTGCACAAATTTTGTGCACCGGGCTTCTAGTTATTATTATAATGTTTTCAGCCACAGCTTGTAAGAATACCAAAGACTATTCTAGCAATCTTAAAAGAAGTCTCATCTACTCAGTGAAATACTGTCAATTTCATCAGGACCAGAGCCATGAACCATGATCTTTTTCAAGAGGTCTTGGTAAGATACAGGAGCAGGATAAAAACCTTTTCTATATAACACAGAAGATCATTGACATTCTAAAGGCCATGCCTTGAAGCACTTGCTTGATATTTAAACCAATGATTTATTTTTTTAAAAAAAAAAGATAAGCTTATTCAGAATAGACAGAAATGAGCTCATCTGTGATTTACTTGATGGCTAGTAGATATTGGGACTGTGTGAATGTGAGAAATCTTTCTATTAAAGGCAGTCACCAGGATGAATTAATTGATTGGGTTATCATCGTCTTGTTTCTAATTAGGCAGAATGGTGTAGGGATAATGAGCACAGATAAGGAAGTTAGAATGATTAGAATCAAATCCAGACCCAACACTTTCCAACTACATAAACATTGAAACATTCTATGAGCCTCAGTTTCCCCATCTGTAACATGGATATGATATCTGCCTCAAAAAGTGGTTGTCAGGATTAAATGAAATAAGGTATGTGAATTTTTTAGCATAGTGCCTAGAATATAGTAAGAATTTTTCAAGTTGTCAATTTTATAATATGGAATAATGAAATATTTATGACTCTCCCCTTAAAATGATAAATTGAAAAACAATTCATTTGTATTCCCAGTAAAGGACCAAAGGAAGACCATTCAATAATTACGTAAGATGGGAGAATGCGATGAGGTGGAAAGAGATGGAGTAGAATGGAATGAAATGAGTGGAAGGGAGTGGACCCAAATTTACCAGCTAAAACAAAATCTGAATAAAATGCACGAGGCAAAATATAGCAGTGAACAGTATCAGTCTTTCAATCTTTCTCTTTAAATGATAGCGGTAACCCTCTCCTGTTCAACTTGGTTTACCCCAAAAACTGAGGGCTGTCCTTATATAAACAGCTAATTCAAAATTCTGCTTAGAGCAAGAAGACGTTTGTCTTTTCTGAGGAGCTGGGATGCTTCTACATGGGATCTTTGTTTCTTGCTCTGCTTTGTTTGGGCTCAGTGATCAGGAAGCTCAGGGATTTGTTCTGTATTTATTTTGAGCAACTCCCCCTAGCCTTTGACTTTCATATTTCCCCACCCTGTCCTCTTCCTTAAGATGTTTTTGTACTTTGGTCCTTGTTTGAATGGTTCTGTTGTACCTGTGTCCTTTATAAGTCACCACAAATTTCCCTTTAAAAGTAGATGTCATTCTACGCATAGCCCATGGACACAGACAACAGTGTGGTGAAGACCTGGGGCAGGGGCTGGCGGCGGGCTAGAGAGGGTC